ACCAAATTACATTCTTACCAACACGAGGGTTCGCTTTCTCCACATCCTCGCCGACACTTGTTCATTTAGAGATTAGCCATTCTGACAGGTGTAAAGTGGCATCTCATTTTGGTTTTGATTTGCATTCCCACCTGTTATGTTTTTATATATAAATCCCAGTTGCACCATGAGCTGGGTATGTGACCTTGAGCAAGTTACTTCACCTCTCTGTGCCTCAATTTCTGCACCAATAAATGAGAACAGCAACACTGTTTAGCATGTGAGGTAGTTACAAGGTCTGTGTGTTAGCTTGCAGGGGGAGCCGTTACAGAGCACCGCAGACTGGGCCGCTCAAACAAAGACTTGCATTCCCTCAGAGCTCTGGGGGCGGGAGTCTGAGATCAGGGTCTCAGCAGAGCTGGTTTCTCCTGAGGCCGCCCTCCTTGTGGATGGCTGTCTTCTCCCTCTGTCCTCACGTGGTCTTCCCGCCATCCCTGTCTGGGTTCTGTTCCCCTTCTTTTATGAGGACACCCATCAGATTGGAGCAGGGCCCACCCCAGTGACCTCATTTAATCTTAATCACCTCTTTAAATACCCAGTCTCTTTAAATACCCAGATCCAGTCACTTTCGGAGGTACTGGGAGTTAGGACCTCAACATACGAATTTGGAGGGAACACAGCTCAGCCCGTCACAAGGACTAAGTGACTTAATAAAGGGCTTAGTCCCTGACACAGTAAGAACTACGTATTCCTTAAATAAATAAAATTTTCGGAAGAGTATAAAACAGTGTTACCTGTGGGGAGAAGGGCTGGGGCCTGGGCCCCTTTGACTTTATATTCTAGGTATTTATTTTCTTAATTCTTAAAGTAACAATAATGATAATAACAGTAACCCTTTCAGAGCAGGTGCCCAGTTCCAGCTTCCTGGAAGGTGGGTTTCCCCTCCGCTCCTGGGAGTCAGACCTGGGTGTGGTGGGGGGTGAGGGGAGAGGAGTGGAGGTCCCCGCCTCCACCTGCTGCAGCTTTTGTCTTAATTATTCACACCTCACAGAGAATCAGCCTCCTCCTGCTTAAGCCCAGGGGCCCCACTAAGGGCCTGGAGCTTCAGCCAAATGCTCAGCCCCGCCTCACCCCTCCCAGGCCTGGGCCCCTTCTCCAGGCCTCCCTCTGCCTGGGGAAACCCCATCTGTTCCCTTCTCCTTTCACTGCCCCAGGGGTCTCAGAGCCCCTCCCCCATCAGATACTCTTGTGCCACAAAGCCCAGGGGACCAGCTGTCCATTACTCAAATGGGAAAAACTGAGGCCGGGGGCCCCCAGGGAGTCCAGAGTGGCAGAGGTCCCTTTGTAGCCTCAGCTTACACTTCATTGCGAGTTATGAGCCCTCAAAGTCACTGAAGGTCACCTCTCATCCCTCCCAGTTCTGGCAGAGGCTGCTCTAGCCCTGGAGAGAGTGGGGCCCAGACAGATCTGGGGTGTCCTCCACCAAGGTCTCCCCAGAAATGAACAGGGGAGGAGCCTGAACTGGGAAGGGCAGGGGACTTGGCAGGGGTGTCCTATGGAGACATGCATAGAAAGCGCAGAGGCCTCCTTCACCAGAGGGGCCCACCCGAGTCCTCCTGGGGCTGGAGCCCCCAGCGGGCTTGGGGTCCCACCCCAACAAGGACATGAAGGGCCAGCCTGCAGAGAAGCACGTAGACAGGAATGAGGAGGCCCTAGGACACCCCGTTACTCTGGCCAGGCCACATCCCGAGGACTGCAGCCTGCCCCCAGCTGCCTGGCCTCTGGCATGCCTGCCCTCGATAGGGAACAATCCACAGGAGGGAAGAAGGCTCGCCTCTCCTTTCTGTTTTCTTTACAATTTTTTTCAAAAGTATAGTTGATGTACAATATTATGTAAGTTACAGGTGTACAGTATAGATGCACAATTTTTGAAGATTATACTCCATTTATATTTATTATAAAATGTTGGCTATATTCCCTGTGTTGTACAGTATATCCTTATAGCTTATTTTATACCTAATCGTTTGTACCTCTTAATCTTTTACCCTATCTTGCCCCTCCCCGCTTCCTTCTCTCCACTGGTACCACTAGTCTGTGCTGTCTTTCTTACAAGTTTAATTGAATTATTTTTCCTTCAAACATAATCTTTGGGGCTCACATTTAACTCCAATGAGTAACTTGGAGCACTGGCTGCACCTGCCCAGACTCTTTGGGCACCTGTTTCCCCATCTGAGCAATAAGAGGCTAGACTCTTGCTGGCCCTCCATGGCGGGCTTGGGGGAAACCCACCCTCAGAACTCTGGAGTTCCTGCTGGCCCCTGACCCAGCTGGAGGTAGGAGGAGCTGCCAGCCAGGGTCTGGGAGAACTGAAGGGGAACAGTGTCCCCAGGCACGGTGGTCGCTAACCCTGGGGCTGAGTCAGTGCAGGCTGGTGAGCAAGCAGTCAGCTCTTTGTTCCTGGGGCTGGTCTGTGCTCATGTGTGCATGTGTGTTGTGTGTGCACTGGGCTCCTTGTACATGCCTGCATGTGTTCATGTGTGCACACACCCATGCATGTACATAAACCCCTGTGCATATGTGCAGGGTCACCTGATGGACCATGCCCTTGTAAGCTCTGAGTTGCTGAGGAAGCCAACGCTTCTGGCTGGAGGAAGAACTGCATCCTTTGCTCTGGAATCTGAGCCCTGGGGGCCTCAGAGCCAGTTCTGACGGGGGGCACCTTTAGACGAGGACATGGGGCGCCCAGTGCATGGAAGTGAATGTGGTGGTCCCCACCTGTGCTTCACGGGCTCCCACGGGAGTGTCTGCCTCCTTCTGAAGATGTCCCGTTGCCTCCGTGTAACTCAGTCAAACCCATTCTTCATCCGGGACCCAACCAGGCCCCACCCCAACTCTAGCCTGGGTTCCTGCCACCTGATCTTTGCTTATGCAGGTCCGTCGCCCTGGTTGCCCTTCCTGTCCCTTGTGCTGGGTTAGGTCTTCATCCTTCCCTAGGTGTGATCACCCCTGCTCCCAGCAGCCTGTGTGTCTCATTCGAACGGGGTGGGAAGGTGGGGAGAGCATAGCCCCTGGAACGCGCAGCCACATGGTCGCCGCCCACTTTTGCAGAATGCATGGAATTCAGAATCAGTGTCTAGGCCTGGCTCAGAGGATGCGGGGAGGGGTCCCTGCAGTGATTCCAGGGCAGGTCATTCCTGCTCCTGGGCAGCCCCCCTTCCTGGACACCGCAGGGAACCACCCCACTCAACTGCCCAACTGGGGACCTCCCCCCAGTCCTTTCCAGTGCATCCCCACCCCCATGTCTGTAAGAGCTTGGCTACGGGGGATTCGTCTGTTCCTTGCACGTCACTGAGACTTTTCTGGCTTCCAGCCTGGCTTTAACAGGGGTGGAGGGTTGGCCGCCAGGACCCCGCTTGGGGCCCAACATCCCTTTGTGGCCGCCATCTGTCCATGTCAATCTCGAGACTCCCGCCCCCAGGGACCACCAATCACAGCGCAGGCATCCCAGTTTCGTCAGCAGCAGCCAATCAGCGCTTCCGCTGACCCCCCTGGATCTTGCGGTGCCCCGCTGCCCAGCCCAAGTCCATCACCGCCTGCTTGTTGGACATCCATGGGGCACCCCGCTCCACCCTCGAGGCTGTGCCTTGCTACTCTGAACCTCAGTGGGAACAACAGGTATGCTCTGGGTAACGAGATACTGCAAAAAAGGACGAGACTCAGTACCTGCCTCTCTGGAGGCAGTCCCTGCAGAAATGGCCAGGGGCCATGAGCACAAGGTAAGCTCAGGACCCAGGTCCCCGCCTACAGGCTGGAAAAACTTCAACTTCTTGTCTGCTAGGTGGAGAACTACCTCCTCTCCACATGCGGGGCCTGGGGTCCTTTTTCGATAAAGGCACCCCCTACCCCCGGACTCCAGCTGACTCTTTCCAGGGCCTGTGCCCACCTCTACCTGGGCCTGTCCTCCAAGGGCGACCCAGCCAGCACACCCCAGTCCCAGGGGGCCACAGCCTGTTGTTTAGGGATGTGGCTGGAGGCCCACAAAGCCCCTCACAGTGAGAAGGGGGCAGCCCAGGCCCCACGCTGCCAAGCTCAAGTCAAGGCGCACCTGCCCTGAGGCAAAAGAAGTTCGCTCTACTGGTTTGTGTGTGCTTGTCCTCTGACTCCTAAACCTGCAGGAGAAGGTCCATTGGGCCCACCCCTCCCATCTGCCCTTATCCGCAACACACATACAGGCCTCGGGGTTGCAGACTTGCATTATTTTATTTTGCTCTTTCCAGTCTGAAGCTACTATCATGGGCATTTAGAGTTATACAAATGACAATTACAAAAAATAAAAGACCAAGACACCCAGAGTGAGATGCATGGTGGACACTAACCAGAGATGAGGGAGCCAGCAGGGGCAGGGCTGGGAGCCAGGGGCCGGTGGCTTCCACAGGGCTCCGGGCTGAGGGCGACGCCCCGCTTCATCGCGCTGAGAT